AAATTAGGCTACTTATTAAATCTTGATCAGTGCTGCGTGACTAAAGAGTGCCTTCTTTTCTTGTCTTTAAAATTAACTTGTGAGAGACTTGGGAATAGACTGAAGTATTTTCTTAAATGCATATTAGATACATCTGTGCTTGGCACTTTTATGTTAACTCTCCCGCTTTATGTACCTTGTATGCTAAGCCGTGTAGGTTCCCTTTACGGACTCTTATATACATATGGTTGCTTGCGTAATATAGTGGTTTTAATCTCGATAATAAGCAACAAACAATTAAGAAAATACAAACTTACAACGTCTGTAGCTTAGATAGATTGTAAAATATCCCAAATGGAAGCTGTTCAATTTGGTTATTGTACAGATACCTGCAAGAATAAGGTTAAGGGTAAGTAAGAATTATCAGTGAAAGACGACCTCATCCTTGTTTATTTATTTATTATTTGTTTGTTTCTCGTTGGAGCTATGCTGTAAACACTATTTTGCATGCACCTACTTGCATTGTTTCCCGCCCTCTGGTAAGCGAGGTTTTAATTTTAGATTGACATAACGACCAACAAGATATATTCAAGTAATTTGCAAGGGGCCATGGTTTGCACCGTTTTATTGTCATTGATTGTTTTATGCACCAGTCAATTCCACCTGCGCCCAGCCCCCCCCCGGGCAACTGCGGGGCATTTGCCCGCCTTGTCAGTCCAGGGTGGGGCATTTGCAATTTTGCACTGCCCGGAGGCCGGGCATTTGCCAACCCCCGGGCCATTCCCGAGCTTTTGACACGCACGAGGTTTCCCATCAGAATATAATTACAAAGAAGGTTTTACTGGAAAAAAAGCAGATTGGCTCGTCTGTAAAGGACAGGAATAAATTGTAGAGGGTTGTAAAGGCATGTTCTCGATTTTACATGTATGTTGCATTTCTTCATTGCTTTTAAAGCCAGAATTACGTAACAAAATTGGAGCTATCGATGTGAAACAACGTTTTTTGGTTATTGAATCAAATTTCTGTTGATGTTATTTAAAGAACATCCTTTCATATTTATAAAACTATTCATAACATATAAAATTACAGCGCTCTATCAATTTTAATGTCAATAATTTTATATCAATACTAAAACCATAAACTGGTACATGTCGTCGTGGCGTGAAGTCTTAATTAGAATCCTCGCGCTATTATAAAGGAAGACGTTAATTGAAACAAAAAATCGCACATTAAAATGGCACTATTTGACTGTGCGATCAATGAAAAATGTTGCAGTGTTGACGGAGGACGGGAATTTGCCCCCTTTTTTTCGTCCCCACCCCGGGGATTTGACAGCTCAAGAGTCCCCACCCCCGAGAATTTGCCATCCAAGGCAAAAAAAATGCTAATGCCCGGGGGTCAGCCGGGGGGGGGGAAGGGGGGCTGGGCGCAGGTGGAATTGACTGATGCATTAGTTTACAACTAGAAATTGGTTCAAAAATCAACTGAACAAAAAAAATTGACATTTTTCCTTTTGTCGTTTTACCTTTACCCGGCAAACACTAAAAGGAAGCATCCTAAGTGAGATTTGGGCAAAGATTTTTCCTTCAAAGCCCTTATAGACACTTTAAAGACCAAATTCGAGCGGTTATTACGAAGACTTTTGAATGACCAAAACGATTGATATAATGTGTTAGGCAGCGGTGAGCCGTACCAGTTTGAGCCGCCGGTTTTGGAAGAAGAATCTTATGCCTCCAACGACTCCTTCAATGGCTTAAAGCGTGAGCGTATGATTCATTTCCTCTATAAATGGTTGCTATGAAAGCCACGATATATCATTGAAATGAATACGTTCAGAAATTCCCTCAGGAAGTTTTGTGATCTTTTAACCTTATCCCACGCTGTTTCTATTTTCGGTTTTTGTTGCGTTCGCGCGCACGTTGAGCTCCGCTTTGAATGCGAATGCAAATGCAGAATGGTATTGTTATTCAGAGTCATTATTTTAAAGAGTTTCTCAGTAACCCACCTTGATTTTTGCGGGGATCATATGTTATAATATCTCTTATTTGCTAGGAAGGTTTAAGGGTTTTACTCTCTTGTAATAAACTATTTAGGAAGTAACTCGACTTGTATTCGATAAAATCAAAAAATGGTCACTGCATTTCGAGAAAACAGTTTTCTTGGGATGGGAGCTTTCTGCTGCCATCTGAAGATAGCAAGGCATAATAAGTTCTCCGCATTATCTGTCACTTATGTCCAGGTTTGCACGCAGCAGCAAAAATTGCTATTTTTCGTGCCTCTTCATGGGAACTTAGCACTTTACAGAAATGACCGGGAAATGCACCGGGGAGTGGCCTGATAGGTACGCTTAGAATTGACTAGGCCACGAAGATCGAAGCCAACTCGAACCTTCGTAGGTCTATGTGTTGCCTTTTTTTCGTCTGGATAAAACAAGACACTTTTTATTTTAGTACAACAGAAAAATAGGAACGATTGGACTTGCACACGACCTGTCCTCTCGTTATCCATTCTTAATTAATTCTAGTAAGCTGTTATTAGGTCCGGAAGTATCTCCTCCAAATTAAATTGCGGCCTACAAGCTGTGTACAGTGGAAGAGAGGCAGAATTAAGAAATATCCCTGTTTTTTTTAAAGAGTTTCTCAGTGACCCATCTTGATTTTTGTAGGGATCATGTTATAGTAGGAAGATTTGAGGGTTTTACTCTCTTGTAATAAACTATATAGGAGGTAACTCGACTTTTCTTCCATAAAATCAAAAAAATGGTCCCTGCATTTGAAGAAAACAGTTTTCTTGGGACGAAAGCTTTATTGCTGCCATCTGAAGATAGCAAGGCATAATAATTTCTCCGCAATATCTGTCAATTATGTCCAGGTTTGCACCCAGCAGCAAAAATTGCGACTGACTATTTTTCGCGCCAGTTGCGATTTTTCGCAGTTCTTTGTCATGTTAATAATCACTGAAGTCCAGAGCGAGTTGTCGATTTAACAAAATTTGCGAAAATTGCGAAAAATCGTAAGTCTGACGATTTTTTTGTGTTACTTGAGATTTTTCGCAGTTCTTTGTCATGTTCATAATCACTTAACCAGACCGAGTTGCGGATTTAACCAAATTTGCGAAAATTGCGAAAAAGCGCAAATTTGACGATTTTTCACGTTACTTGCGATTTCTCGCAGTCCTTTGTCATGTTAATCAGTTCACTTTTCTCGTGTTCATGATCTCTTAAAACAAAGCCGTTTGCCGACTTTTTTGTCCGAAAAGTTTCCGCTTTACTTGCCATTTTGGCATTTCCCTGTCAGCGCAATTAAAGCATTTCTACACGCAAAAGCCGATGCAGCCAATCTTTAAATAAAGGTTTGTTATGTAAAGGTTCGAGTGATATTCGTAAGATTCCATTGTCTTTCAAGTTTCGTCATTTTATGCCTTCTTTAAACTAGGAGTTTTGGAACAAGGGATCAACATCATTAATGTATTTTTCAACTGGTCAAAGTTATTTATTCACATTACATCTTGAATACAGCATCATTCACTTCAATGTAACAATTATTTTCACTAGTACATCTAAATTATGTGGTCGTTTCCCCCTAAAGTGGATTCGCCCGAGGTTGCTTCGCCCGCACTTGTTTAAGTCGATCCGACCGATGACAAACAACACTCTACAACACCGCTTATTGAAGATGCTTTTCGCTTTGATTATTTTGCCGTCATTACCTAAATAGGTCAAGCGTTCTGCACGATCTTAGAAATGTCGACGATTGCTACGTCGATCTTGAATATATTTTGTATAAAGTCGTCACTGCAAAATGTTGTGGATCACTATATGCTGTCACTTTCACTTTGACGCTTATTCCTTGACAAATCAACGTCGTGCAAATCCAAAAAAGTAATATACCTCGGGTCTTTAATGCTCATGCCCCAACAACAACACTATACATGTCATATACTTCGTTCTTTATCCACCAACCCCAGCTAAGCCTTCTTAATTCGAGTCAGCCATTCTTGTTTCACAGTATTCGGCGACTTCAGGACTGCCACCGAAGACTAAGAACACTTTTACACCTAGTCCAGCGCCAATTTACTTCATTGGGGACTATGGACGGCAAACATAGCTAGGTCGGTTGCTGGTTCCATTAAATCTGACTAAGACACCGAAAAGTGGTCATAGTTAAACTTGATTGCTTTAAATTACTAGCACCTTAATTTCTTCTTTCGTGGCCCAAAAAGTATTTAATTTTTTAAAAAAAACTTTTAAATTAATACTGACAATGTAATAACAAGGAGAACTGGTCAATAATTACAGGGTTCGAACAGGTTTTTGGATTTAAACTTGAACACTTTTTGCTATTTTTCTTAAGTTCAACTAGGGAAAAATCAATGTCGGGCGAATCTACAAGTAATCGACGTTCTTTAATGCTCAGGGACACAAACAACAACACTATACATGTAATATACTTTGTTCTTTAATCCACAAATCCCAACAAAGCTGTTGAATACGAAGCAACCATTACAATTTTACTAAAATTTTTGGCAACTAACGGACTGCTCACCGCGGTAGCAGTACACTTTCACGTACCTAGTCCATTTTGAAAATTTGCAACGCTTGGAATGTGGCCAACTTCCATTTTGTGAAAAAAAAATTTTTAATTCCCTGCCCAACGTAAAACGTGGCTGCTTAATCCATTCGCTCCAGGAGATTTTGCCGAAAAACGCGTTTTGAAGCTAGTCGAGTGGTTTTCTGGTCACTGTCGTGCTATAAAGAGCTAAAACTTACCACAAACCGGTTTACAGGTCGTACACTTGGCGGCCTTGTGATCCAGATGCAAAACATCAGCTTGCAAAGTTCGGGCATGCGCAGAAAGCAAAATTTCGAGAATTTTTGGGTTTAAAACAACCTCGTCCCCAGAGGTCCCTTTTGTCATGCGCTGGAAAAATCGGGACCCCTGGCCAATCGGATTTCAGGACCAATTCCTATTGGGTGTTGAAAGACAAAGGCGTAACAACCGGAAGTCCACATAACCCACAACATGGCAGAACCTCCGAAAACACCGACTAAAGCAGCAACCCGGGTTTGTCGAACCTGCAACGAAAACATAGTTGTGAAGAATCATCCTTTAGATTTATTTGGTGCAAAGGCATCACAAGAAAACATTCCTTCGGTTCTGGAAAGGTTCTTTGAGTTAAAAGTTGCGTTAAACGATGGTCTCCCGTCATATATCTGTAGATGTTGTTACCATAAAGTGGTGAAGTTCCAGGAATTTTTTAGAAAAATAGCGTTTTCGAAGCAACAACAAGAGTCAGTTTTACGTGTCAAAAGAGGGAAAACAACGGCAGAGAGTCCATCGGGAAGATCCCCGCAAACGAGACGTGACCTAAAGAAGAGCAGAACTTACGAAGACGCACCTGCTACAGAGCCCCATAGCAGATCGCTTTTTCAGATGCACATGGACAAACCTTCGAAAACTCGACCACGGCCAATACTTCCTGCACCTTCATCAGAACGCGACGGGAAAAGACGAAAACCTGCAAAGAGAGTTAAATCCTCAACAGAGCCCTCAACGCTATCAAAACAAGAAGAAATCCTCTCTGAGTCTGGTTTGCTGAACCCATTGGTATTTTATATTCGCTAAATTCAATACCTGTACACCATTACATATAAAGTTAGATTAGTTCTTGGCTGCTAGGCCCTTCAAGCTGTGGTATCAAAATTAACATTTTCCTTACTGTTTTTCCAACGTGTTTAGTATTCTCAAGCTGAGAAGCAATATTTGCCATGGTATATATACCGTATATAATTTTTTTCTCACATGCATGATACGTGATACATGATACTAATACATGCAAGGTGAGGAGAAATTGCATCCTGATCTCTGTACGAGACTACAGAATAATATACCCTAATTTTTAATCAAGCTTGTGTCATGCTAAGTGTCTTACATTAGCTGTCAAAGAGATACTTATCTGTATTTATAAAGCAATTATAATATAGATTATTAGCTTGAATTATAATAAATAATATAAAAAAATGCTTGTTGGGTTGTACTTAAATGTTTTTTTTTCTCTCTTGTATAATCTAATTGCATAATGGTTGAGTTGTTGAGTTTCAGATGACCTTAATTTAGAGACCATCCTGTTGTGTTTGAAGTAAACATTCAAGCCAAAAATGTAAGTAACCAGTAAGCTCTACTTTTCTTTTTTAATCAAGTAAAAAGTGGTATCAAATTATGTGTAATACATTCCTTATAGATAAAGACAATAAACAGTTACTGAATGTCTGTAATTTTATTGAACTCAATCTTGACTGCCCTTCACCCAAAAAGAAACTAACTAAATAAATAAATGATAAAATTAATAGAGAAATTAACTTTAATATATTTTTCTTTCTGGCTTTTTAAAATTTATATTAGCTCAAAGATGAGCCACTTTTGGAGGAAGGAACCAAAACTGTTGACACGTTGGCCACACTGATGTTGACTGGATGCACAACCCATCAGATTGCTGAGATAATCATGCAATGCCGACCTTTAAGAAATGTAGTTAAGTGTTTGTTCTTAAAAAGGAGAGAATCTGTCAAGTGGCAAGGATGAGTCCTTAAAGAACAGTTAATAATGAAACTTATTTTCTTCCTTTTTAATATTTCAATCTAGGTCCATACAATTATGCATAGAACTTCATAAGCTGTCTAAAAGAAGTTCAATTAAAACGCTTTGTTCTTCATTTTTTAAATTAACAGTCACTATAAGAAGGCATGTGTCAGCTGGATGTGTACCCAGGTTATTCTTTGATAATCTGGACTTCAAGGTATTGGTTAACATCATACTGCAGAATCACCGCCACTCAGATATGCATTGGATTGCTCATTATGTAACATTCGACAGAGTACCCTCTGATCACCTTGATGATTCCAAACCTATATCTGATGGCACACGATTTGAGAATATTGAGTACCTTCTGTGTCAAAGTGAACTTGAGAAGTTGCGAAGTGATTTCATCGTCTTAGTGGCCCGTATTCTTGCTGAATTCTTTGAATTCATGGAGCCTCTCAAATCTGCCATACCAAAGCATATCCAACACAGGTAGGATAACTATAAATTAATTATGATATGCTATACATGTATTTAGTTTAAAACAAGCCAAACAAGCCCAAAAAGGTTATACAATCCCACACTGGTCTGCTGTCTTACTCTTGGCCATAGACATCTTTGATTTCCCTTTGTTCCTCAAGCATAAAAAGGAAATGGTCAAGACAATGCCTTGCAGTTTTAATATATATAGATTTAGCCAGGGGTAAAAGCGAAGCTCTAGTTAATAATAATACTTGACGTAAACAAAAAAAAATTAAATCATGTAATGCTAAATGGGGAGGGCAATGAAAATGGCATCAAGATCAATAGATCTAATTAGCAAAGAAACAAATTGCATGTGCAGCACACTTTTTTTCTAATTAGCAAAAACACAAATTTGCACATGCAGCACACATTAGAGAGATTAAGATTCACGTTTACCGCAACCTGCAAACGTTAGACTCGAGTTGAGAATTTCTCAGAATAGAAAATAACAGATAAAAACAGTCCCGAACGATTCCTATGGTTAAAACTGGCATAAAACTACTTATTTTTGCGTGGAAGCAACAAAGAGTAAACGGAAAATAAGGGGGAAACTTGGTCACTTGGTACAAATTTACGTCTACCGTTTGGCGTAAACGTGAATCTTAATCTCTCTATTTTGGCTTTCTTTGCCATTGTTTTGCACAACTACAATGCTGTTTTGTAGGACTAAAACGTCAAACTTCCTAGTTACACATTATTTTATGGAGAAATTGTCATATAATATGTGCTTACCCAATATTTTGTCTCCTGTGTTCATGCATGATTGCTTTTATTTTTCACTGCCACTCATTTTCACCTTGCTGGCTGCTAGCATTTCTCATTCTCACAACCACTTTGAATTTTCATGTTTTCCTTCCTACAAAATTTGTCTCTTTTGTTTTCAATCACTCACTGTAGCTCTTTCTCTGTTATCCACATGAGTGTAAACATCAAAAATAACGTCGAAAAAGACACCACTTTTTGTTGTTGTTTTTTCTTTCTAAAAGTCCGGGCAGTCATGCGATTCTTTCCAAATAAAACCTTGAGTTACATTTGGGTTGCCATACCTGTTGATTGAATTATTTTAAATTGACATGCCTGTGGTGCGGACGGATGGTTGGTCGGTCAGTCGGTGTACGGTCATGTTTTTTTGAATGGGTAGTTTACCAGATTTTTTTACCCATGGTGTTCCGCTGCGCGCGCTTCACGCATGCGAGAGCTCCAATATCAAGTTTCTTGGTACATAGACTATACTTAATTAATTTGCTCCTTTAATGATGGTATACAAGAGTTTGTCATTTGCTAGGTGTGGTCTATTTGTTATGTATTTGAGATAAGATAATGATATTTAACTTAAATTAAAAGAGCTTTGGTATATTGTGTTCAGGTACTCTGAATTCATGAACAAAAAGTCTGTCATTATTGGACTACCAGTGGTACCTTACAATCAATCCAAGCATGCAGATGTTTGCCAATATCTTGAATATGTTCAAAAGCTACTGGTTGATATCTACAAGCCACAGGTAATTAATCATTATTTATTAATTTTTTCAAAGTCAAATCATAAATTACAGGATACAAGATGGAAAATCATCAAATGTCACCACAAGGACTTCAATGCTGGGTCATATATCATTAAAATTCAAACATATGCCTTTCATTCCCTGATCAAGCTATTAAAATATAGTCGCTGAGTATTGAAAGAGCATAACAATTTCACTTGTCTTTGAACATTTGAACCTGATGTACCAAATAGTTTTGGAGAAAAACTTGAAATTTTGCAAGGAATGTATGAGCTCATAGTGTTTTGCCACCCAGAAATTTTGCAGTTTTTGATGGCTATTTCCTTTGTTACGTATGATTGCAAAGAGCTGAAAATTGCACAAACTGCTCAGAATATCTAGCTCTTTCAACTTTTGAACCAAGCTTTTACATACACTGACATTTTCTATGGGTAAACTCTCATGCTAATGAGCAAAAATGCAAATAATGATGTCAGCAAAGATTCGCGAATTGTTCTTAACAGAACCAAGACATGCCAGTTAATGCAGATGAAGTGCTCAAGAATGTTAAAGTGCCACTGGGAGGAGACCTCCTTGGACGAGAAAGAATTACTGGAGCCAAAAAGACTAGACTTGGGTGTGACAGTGCAGCCGAGAGATTTGAAAGTATTGTTGAGACACCTGCACTTTGGCATGCAAAACAATCCTTTCTAGGGGTTAGTTTTTTAATTATTACATAATCTGATTATTCTTTATTTTAACCATTGTCTTTTGCTTTTTTTTTTCTGGTTTTGCCTATGTTTGGTAAAAAGATACTTAACTTAATGACTAAGTAACTTTATTCCCAATCAAAAATGAAAATAGCAGGATGGGTCCAAGGGACAGCTATTCAAAATATTTAAAAAATATTTCTTTATCTTCAATTATCTGCTCAGAATGCATGCAGGTGGTACTCTTTCAAGATTTAAATAATTTGCTTTTAACACAATCTCATTTCCAGAGGCCAAGGCAGCACTTTTTCCTTAGTTATATGTCGAATCTGAGCATTAGCGTGGTAGAGGTTTGAACTCACAACCTCCCACTTGACAAGCTGGCAGTCTTCCAGCTGTGCAAGGTCCAAGGTTTTCCATGTCCAAAATTGAATTGTCATTAAGGTCAAAAAACATTTTCACCCTAAATTAAAATTTCTATAATTTAAAAACTAAAGAAATTCAACATGCAGTCTAGGTTGAAAGCAACCTGAATTTCCTTTCAACTATATAAACAACAGATATTAGTCAGACAGAGTTCACATATAAATCAAGTAGACAATTAATAAACATTGCTTATTCTTTTTATAGTATATCTGGGAGCAACTTTACAAGCCAACTCCTGCAAGTGGTAGAAGAGACATTGGCACCTTGTATTACTTTAGGCAAAATTTTGGACTTGTTAATGTGCCACCAAGGGTTCAAGACAACTACTCAAGTTGTGAGTCACTGATGTTGTCAGCAACAAAGGCTTACATTTGTGCAGCATTCATGGCATGGGCAGGGACAACAGACACTGCTACCTCTCCATCATGGGTAAGCTCTATTGCAAAGGAGAGAAATTCAGCAGTCCAGTGGGAAAGCCTGCAAATTCAAATTGGCAAGTTTGTTGATGAGTACGTGTTGACAGAGTTTGATATTGAAAGAGCCTGGCGGGAGCAGCTAGAACAACAATGCCAACAGAAAGAAAACCAAAGGAGATCTGCTGGCAATGATGATGAGATGACTGCAATTTCATCCCTTGCTCAGCAACCATACTCTTCTGGTATGTCTATAAACAATACTTTAACATACAGTACAATGCTGTGTGTGTGAAAATGAAGTATTAAACTACATTATTTCTATTAAAATTTTCAAATATTGGTATAAGGCACCAGGGTGCAAAGAAAGTCAGTTTTGTGGTTTGCCATTCAGGCAAGCTGTAGTTAAATAGAACATGTACTTGCCCAAGAGTCATTTTTAATATAACTATAGCCCAAAAATATATTTTGATGAGCAGGATCGATCGACTGATAACAGTTCTGTAATTTGAATTCTCCTAAAAATTTCACTTGCCCATCAGGCAAGTTAAGAAAAGAATTCACTTGCCCGATAGCAAAATCCACGAGCCATGGGCTATCAAAAGCGACTTTCTTTGCACGTTGGGCACCCCTAGTTATTATTAAGCTCTGTTAGTAAGAATAATAATTACGACTATTTTTCTGTCTTTATAAAATACAGCTCTGATCTTGTAAATGGACAGCTCACCTCAAAATCTACTTCACTGGACTGGATTAGTCAAGCGAAAATAGTGTTTTGCAATGTTATTTATAAGTCAAGTAAAATTCATATTTTTATGGTCATTATTCCGCAGGTTCTGTTGTCATTTTGCTGCAAAAATCTGAAGATTACAAAGTTCTAGCAGTTGGAAAAGTTGTTGAAGTTGATGCCCATATTTCTGTGCCAGAGAAGCATGTTCCTGTCTTTGTAGCATCCATTGAGGAATGTGCCTCTGCTATACTTGCACCTGGCAATGTTGTGTTTTGGCCCACAGATCTGCTTGCAGTGTACAGGTCTCCAACAATGGGAACTGTAGAAACATCACAAACATCCAATAGTAACCTCAACAGTAACATTTCTGACATCCCTCCTGGCAGTGAGGAAGATCGCTATCTCAATTATGGGTTGCAGGTAATTCAACTGGGAATGATGCTCATGCAGCTTAATGATACAGAGGGTGAGGGAGATGGAGAGCGCAGCCTAATTAACTGGAAGATGCTTCTGTTGTATTTTAGAAGTAGGCCAAGAGGGAAAAAATATGCCTTTGAGGCAATGCGATTCATAACTTGTGTCAAGGGTTTTATACAGAGAAGATTGCCCATAGAGTGTTACATGGCCAGTTTGTAAATCCAAAGGGAGGAGAAGGATCCAATTATGCAAATGATTTAAAAATGGAACACCTGGTTGGAGACAACAAGGTCTCTTAGGGGACTGTGTGGAAACAAAACGCTGAAAGCTGTCCAAAGATGTTCTGCTGCAGCATATGGTCTTAAAGAATGTTGCACCCAGTATGATGATGAGTGTGGCATACACCCAGAGTCAACCAAGCACACTCATGCTTGTACCACGCAAGATGTCAAAGCAATGTTAACTATTGTGCAACAGGCTAGACCTTTTCAGTACCAAAAAGGTAGAACACTTCAATCATTTCCAAATCTAACAAAGAGTCCTCTTGACCAGTTGGATGTAGCACTGCTTAACACCTGGCTGACAAACCACAAGCGCAAGCTTTTTTCTGGTGTCCATGACTGCAATGAGGAAGACAATGAGGAGGAGAATGAATTGAATGATGGTGATGAAGACACACCAGAAGAAGATGATGTGGATGATTAATGTATCAAAGTGCTTTGCCTCAGTTATTTCATAAGGACAATATAAATTGTGACAATGCTCAGGCTATTAGTATGCAACAAACAGAAATTACAATGTGCCTGACTTCCTGTTAGCTTGGCAATCAACCAACCAATAAGAAAATAGATGCTTACTGAAAGAAAGAAGTTATTGGTGGTTTAAGACAATCATGGTGAAGTTTGTATTTTTTTAATTTATTATCGGTTTATGTTTCACCACTTTGCAAAATCTAGTATGTCTACTATACTCAGGAATGCACTGAGACAAACTCAAATCACAATCTGCATAGATTTGTTGCTCTTTCATAACAGTAAACAAATGTAGGTCTGGTCGCCTTTAGCTACATTTGAAATAATATATTTCTCTTGTTCAATCAACAGTTGAATTTATAATTGGCTAGCAGAGTAAATGAAACTTGACAGAAGCAAGAAAAGATAGTGATCACCAGATACCACTTGTTTGCCCAGTTATTGTAATTCTTTTCTAAGGATAAAATTTCACAAAAAGATTTCACTTCA